ATTAGCCTTCGTGCTGTTGAGATGGGAAAGTAGGTGGGTCTGAGTAGATTAGGAAAAGTCCAAAAAAATGCTGTGTTGTCAGTCCACAAGTCTTAAAAACTGTGCGCATTTCTGAGAGATTGACCGTTTATCTTCTGTACTTGCAGGGTCTTCAATGCGATAAAAGATAGGGAAAAGTGCATGTAGATACATCACAGGCATTGTCTCTCTTGTAGAGATGTACTTTATATGTTTTTTATTTTGCCTTGACATACACCTTAAGCAAGACTCACATCTAGTCCTAAATTATTTTAATTCTGCACACTTTTCTATGAAATATTTATGTTTACTCTCTTATTTATTTTCAAATATTGTGTCTGAGGAGCTCATAGAGCTGAGTCAGAGGGGGCTTTACCTGCTCATACAGCTGACTCACCTCTGACTCTCAGGGCAAAGAACCAATTAAGCTAAATAAAAGATCAGATGTAATTATATTATAGGTAAGCCTGCACATTTCTGATAATGTAAGACTCAATATTCATACTTTTTCGTTCAAGAGCTTGTTATTGATTTTTGGTTTTGTCATGTTTACAAACATGTACAAATACAATGCTTGAGCAACATTGGGATGGGGAATCAACAATGTCCAAAGACCTGGTACAGCAAGGTACATATTATGGAAAGATTCCAATCCATACAATCATAGCATAAGGTGGAAAATGGTTACAGTTAAGATTAGGGAGGGATATGGCAGAAGTGGAAATGCAGAGCAGAATGTCATCTGAAAACAAGCAGAGTTTGTGATGGTGGACCCCCACTTCCACGCCTCTAATATTAGAAGAGTTTCTGAATATGTGAACTAAGGGCTCTATGGCCAGGACAAATATGTGGTGTATGAATAAAGGGAAACATTGGCTGGTGCTTATGGGGAATGGTTCAGACTGGAGACCTGCATATCACACTTGTGCCAATGAGTTTAAATAAAGGGCATTAAGCAAACATTATTATTAATATTATTATTATTATACAGAATTTATATAGTGCCAACAGTTTGTGCAGCGCTTTACAATATAAGGAAGACATTACAATCACAATACAATTCAAGACAGGATGGTAAGGAGAGCCCTGCCCCTGAGGGCTTACAATCTAAAAGGGAGGGGCAGGTGAAACATGAGGAGTTAGCTGTGTGGGGAGGAATTGTTTGACAATGTGATGGTTGAGTGATTAGGTTGAGGTTGGATAACCTTCCCTAAAGAGATGAGTCTTAAGGGATCGCCTAAAGGCAGTCAGAGTGGGAGATGGTTGGAAAGGATGGGGTAAAGAGTTCCACAGGATGGGAGAAACTCTAGAGAAGTCCCAGAGGCGAGCATGGGAGGAGTTGACAACGGCGCTGGAAAGCTATATCTCAAACCTTGTCTCTATGAGACAAGGTTTGAGATATAGCCGTGGGCAGAGTTGTGGATGGCTTTATAAGTCATTGTTAATATTTTAAATTTTATCCTTTTGGGGGTTGCAGACACTGAGCGGTTGGTTAGGTGGATGAGTCTAGCAACAGCATTCATGATAGACTGAAGACTGTAGTGGTAGGCCAATGAGGAGGGAGTTGCAATAGTCAAGGCGAGAGATAACAAGGGAGTGGATGAGTAATTTTGAGGGAATCAAATGCTTTGTTGATGTCTACTGAAGGGAGCGAAGGGAGCATAGAGGTGTATTTCTCATTTTAGCTATGTATAGTAAAGGGATATACAGTGGATGTTGGACTATGCTGGGTGAATGGATGTGAATGTTAAGCACAGTAGAGCAGTGTGCGGAAGGAAAATGTGGTTGATGTGGGGGGAAAAAATGTGAGGGTGGGATCAAAATGTCAGAGGTAAAGGGGCGTTTAGTTTTGGCCTAGCAAATTTCTAAATTGTCTAGAATATGGGGATATCCAAAAGGAAAGGCAGTCAATGTGTGGGTAAGTAACCAAGCTGGAGTCCACACTTTGGAGTCTATTTATAACCAATTAGCCGAGCCTTTCGCTCTATGAATCTTTTTGAACATTTGTCTTTTCAGGTCGAATGTACAGTATGTATCATAATAAAGCATTATGGCCACTAGATTAAGCTGACGAGCATAGAAAATAGAAGTTGTGCATGGAAGTGGTGTACGCCGAGGCGATATGCACTGAAGGTGAAAGGGAAGAGGGGTGAGGGAAGGAGAGGTGAAGATCGTGGGGAAGGACAGGAGTGTGCAAGAGGATAGAGGAATAAGGTAAGGGAATGCTAGCCTGAGGGGCTGGAGTTCAGCAAGGGTCTGCTAAGTCAGCGATTCTCAGATGTCCGAGGACCAAGGTCTACCAACATGTGAGGGTCTGGTGGGAGGTGGGCAAGATATCCCAGCTGGGAAAAAAATGTCACAGAACAGTATTCAAGGCAAACATTTGCACAACACAACAATACAATGTATCAGTAACAGATGTCTCTGAGCTATCTCCCACAAAGTATTAGGGGAAGTGGGTAAGGGAACATGCAGGCCAAGGAGAATTTGCAGTGATGTCTCTGGTATGTACTGTGGTAACATACAAACATTCTTGTACCATGTCAGTGGCCCAGACTGGCCATGCTTAAAGGAGCCTCAGGAGTTGACAGAAGGGATGGAATGTTCAAAACTGTTGGAGAACAGTGGATGCTCATTTCCAGAGGCGGTGATTCAGTCCAGTGTATTGTGTACAGAGGATGGTGAAGGAAGTGTAGAAAAAATCCTGTTTGTCATGCATCAGCCCACCACCACCAGAGACGACCTGGCATTAGGAAAATAACACAAAGTATCAGGTTCATACATTTCAGGTAAGTAGAATGCCTAAAAGCAATGAAGGTGATAACAAATGTGCAGGTCCTGAAGTTTAAACAACAGTATTGAGGGTCCTTTGGGGGCCTGATAACAGTGACAAAATCACTGGCTGTATATGCATTGAACTGGGACTAGGAGAGAGAGAGTCCAGCACTGCAATAGTAAAAAGTGTTCCATGCTGTTCGGATTTAGAGGACATAATAGTTAGAGTCAGGTGCAGAAAATGGGCACCTGTTGAAACAGGTGTAGCACCTGCCATGGCAGGCCAAGATCGGGAGAGCAGAGAATGTCCTTGTGAAATGTTTTATAGTTGGAGAATCCCATTGGGGGCAGTTTGGATAGGGACCACACCATTTGTCCATAGGATAGTGCACCAGCCATAACTAACTATACAGTCGTATAGATTAGCCCAGGGCTTACCCATTTGACAACAGGCAACCAGGAGCTAAAAACATTGCGTACATGTAACATCATGAACATAACAAGCACATACCCAGGCAGGAGAGACTGGGCACAGTAAAATGATGAAAGCAGTAGCAGATGGGGTAGTTATGCTCAGCCAGGGTTTAGAAGGGTGGTGTGCCACAGACTCTCGGGGGAATGGTGGTGAAGATTTGCATGGTACGGCCGACACCCAGAAGCCTGGTTATTGTCTAGAGAGGTTAATAAAAAGAAAGTTGCACAGACGCAGATTCTCAGAATAGGCCCTGGCTGCAGCTAGTGATGTCACCAAATTGGTCTTGCCTCAGTACGCAAATGATAGTTTAAAGGTTTAATTGCAAAACTGTCAGGAAGGGTTTTCAGGACTCACCCCTTGGGAATTGTCACTGGCAAGAGGTTAATAAGAAGCTGGTATAAGCTACCTTGGAATAAGAAAGTTCCTGTCTCTTGTGCCGCTTGTAGGAACCTCTCTTTTGGTTTGTATTAGTGCAGCCAGAATATCATGTCCCTTGGAGGACACTCTGAGGTGTGGGCTGCCCGGGCTTGATAAATGCAGTTGCATCCTGGTGACTACGAGCCCCCATTATTCATACTTTTTAAATGAGCTCAAGCATGACTGGTTCTCTTTACTGCTGAAATCCAGGCAGATTTTAAAAATATCAAAATTTGCAGCATGTATTCATTAAAATCATTAAGTGTGCTTAAAATTAAACTAGTGTAAGTACCTCACTTTGTCATGATATCAGCCTTCTGCTTGTTCAAAGTCGATGGGGGAGATTTACTAAGGGAGTAGAGATTGCTCACTTAGCTATAGTGAATAATTACTGAACTTGATAAGGGTAAGGTAAAACAGTTACAATTAGTTGTAATTAGAAAACTAAGTTGGGGCTGTGGCTGAATTCCCCTCTGCATTTTGCTTCTGAATTGATGGAAATCGACAGCAGCAAGCCTACGGTCTGCACATTTAACTCCATTGCACTGATTTTTCATGAGCGCAAACCTTTCCTTGCCAGGTAATAATAAAATCCCATTTGAGACATCTCTGGACATGATTTTAAAAATGCACCGTGAAGTTATGTACATGTATACAAATTTACATAATTGGTGAACTGGGATTTAAAGTCTTTACCCCATGTGCTGTATTTTTCAGCAGTAAAGCTTGATTTTTAAATAGCCAGCAACATAGCACCTTTTTATTCTGAAACTATTATTTTCATTCATTCCAAAGATACACTTTTTTGTGACCAACAGATCACTATGTAATCTAAGAGAGTACTTTGTTTTTATTTAAGTTGTTTATGCTAAGAGGAAATTTGCTGAAATGAAAGTCAGGTATTACTGAGGTGATTGGGTTCCTTTTATTGCTGCTATTTGTATTCACTGTAACATTGTACAGAACAGAATGGGAGCAAACGTGTCTATTCTGATAAAAAATATTCACAGTCACAAATTTTTAACATTGCAATTTTTCCATATTAATATACACCTAACCAAGTCAACTCAAATGTGTGTGGAATTTGTTTTATCTAACTTTGCATTTTATTCTCAATAAAACAAATTTCACTTGAATTTCTGCCAAAAATGCTGTATTTACAATCATCATGTTAACAATCATACAATTTTAAGGTACGGCTATTTACAACAAAAAAATAAGCAAAGTGATACTTCTATAATAACACTTATTAAGTAGTTGAGGTAGTTACAAACTTTGGCAAGTTCCAAGATCTCTGTAGATGATGACTACCGCAATGAAATTAAATAATGCTGGTTCTCAGGAGGAAAGCTGTGACAAAGAAAATGATGAGAAGGGATTTCACATTGTCAACAAAAGTTCATATTGTCAGAGGTATGATATCCCCAGTAGTAAGACAAAATAGAGTCTGGCTGTTAGGCTAAGCTCTCAGAAAATTCACACTTTTGAACTTTAGCACTGTGAAAGGTGTTGAGAGTTCCTTAGATTGAAATATACATCAGGTAATCATCAAGGAGAGAAACGTGGGCTGCTCACTGCAAGGGCTTCAACTGAAACTAAAAATACACTGCCTGGCAAAAAAAAGTCACACACTCTAATTTAATTGGAGTGCTTTGATTAGGGCACACATTTTGCCATGGCATTGTTTCGATAAGCTTATGCAATGTCACAACATTTATTTCCGTCCAGAGTTGTATTCATTTTTCACCAAGATCTTGTAGTGATGATACAAGAGTCAGACCACTATGTAAAGCCTTCTCCAGCACATCCCAAAGATTTTCAATTGTGTTAAGGTCTGGACTCTGTGGTGGCCAATTCAAGTGTGAAAAAAATATGTCAGCTCCCTGAACTATTTTTTCACAATTTTAATGCAATGAATTCTGGCATTGTCATCTCGGAACTTGCCCATCTCATCAAGTAAGAACAAAAACCATTGATAGAAAAACCTGGTCATTCAGTATATTCAGGGAGGCAGCTGACCTCATTTTTTGGGAACATGATATTCTTGAACCTAGACCTGACCAACAGAAGAAACCCAGATCATAACACTTATCCAATGGAAGGCTCCTACCTATTTGCTTAGCTAAATCCAGGTGGTGACTTTATTTTATTTTTTTGCCAGATAGTGTATTTTGGCCCAGTAAGGCAAATGCAGGACACATTAGAGAAAACAAATGCTCAGACTGTACATCACCCTCAATTAAGTCCGGCCCTTAAAGTGCAATTCCCCACCCTTGTTGATCAACTGCCCTAAACCTGTTCTCAATTTCCTGTTAGCCTACCTACAAACCTTCTCTTTTAGTCCTTGGTGTTTTATACATATCAGCCTGACTAATTATTAGGTCAAAGAACTGTGGTGCCTCTGACATAAATAGAATGTTATAGACAAACTAATTCATGTGACATCTGCCTTCAGCAGCAGGTACTGAAAAGAGTTGGAAGACATAAGGCAGGCTATGAAGAATTGTTCATTAGCTTTGTCCTGATTTGCATTTGTAGAATTGTTTTTATATCTTGTTCTGGATGTCAAGGCTAGGTGCATTTAACTGAAAGAGTACCATATTTGGTAAGAATGCTAACTGGATGAGACAGATTCTAATCTAGAGTACCTTAATCTGCTAAGTAGGCATTTAATATTAATACTGTATACTGTATTTATAAAATAGTGTATGCCCCCTATTGAATGTTTGTCATCATGAATGTTAGTGGCTGTGCGCTACCTAAAAGTAAAAAAAAATATTTATTGTTAACTAATTGTAACTAAATTGTGTATTAATTAACCAATTATATTAAATTCAGACATTATTTCAGTGGCTTTCCGTAGCATTTCCACATTTTAAAACAACATAAAAATATTATTTTTGTTAGTCCATGAATTTTTCCCATTTTCTAAAGAAAGAAAGTTTTACTCCATATTGAAGACAGAGGTGTATTTACTAAAGAGCTCATATTTTGTTCTATCTATCCTGGTAAACTGCATTTAGATTAAGCATTCACTCATTTTGAAAGTAAATTAAACTACACAGATTTTTTATCAACCTGACTTAGTGAAAAGATATAAAATGAGGGGAAGCCCTTCCAGCACTTTTTTTTTGGTAAAAGCACCCTTTCAGTGCTGAAGCATGGAGCACACTACATAAGGCCTCCATCTTCACACTGGAAGCTTTAAGCTATGCGCTCCGTGTTTCACCACTGAAAGGGTGATAAAAGCCCCCTTTCAGCGCTGAAATGTGGCGTGCTTAGCTTAATACTTACAGCTTCTCACTGAAGCTGGAAGCTTTAAGCTATACACTTCAGCATTGAAAGGGTGATTAAACCACCCTTTGAGCACTGAAGCACTTTTTTTCAGTGAGTACCGAATAACAGCAAAAAATAAAATAAAATATGGGATTTTTCCATATAGAGGCTTTACGAAAAATCCCCGGTACTTTTTTTGCTCTATTGAAGTCAAAATAAAATCAATGAAAAACATTAACATCTTTATTAAAATAAGTAAATATATATGTATATTGTACACAAGTGGGTGGTTTTTAACATACACATTTTGTAAGTTTGAAGTTATAACTTCAAACCAGTAATTTCACATTAAATAGGTAAATAAAACATTATTAAATGTTGTATATTTATATTATTATTTATTTTTAGTATTAATATGTATCATTCAGTTTCAAAATAACTTTTTTTAACAGCGAACAGCAGATTCTCCTTCTTAACTGCGTGGGAAAAACATGGGATTCATTATGGGTATAAACCTATACCCATCCCATGTTTTTCTCTCGCAGTAGAGGGATGTGCTGGAAGGGAGCATTTGTCTTTTAGACATGCCCCCTTCCTATGACACTGTCAGCGAGAGCCAACTTTATAGTTGCGTCCACTGCAGCATTTTTTATAGGACAGCTTGGACCAATGGTGCTTTGCCATTGGCCCAAGCTGTCCATGTGAGCTCAGTGCCTCTCTGAGCTCATCTTACCCTCTCCCATGCAGAAGGGATACAGCATTAAACCTCTGTATGTAGCTTCTGACAGGCTGCGCTTTTAGCGTAGCGGGAGCTATGCAAAATGCACAGCCAGGTTCCCTGCTACGCTAATAGCGTATCTTCTCAGAAGCTGCATTAGCGCGTGCAGGTTCAAATAGTAACCGGCACACGCTGTATGCAGCTTCTGGCAGGGTGGGAGATGGGAGGTTGTGCTCGTCGGTGGATCCAGGGATCAGGTGAGTGGAAAAAAATAAATATATATTTTATGTTCCCAGGGACATTTCCAGGGTCTGACCCTGGAAATCGGGGACGAATGTTCACCCTAGTGTAGAGTTGATATAATATTGTATAGTAACTAGCGTTTCTAGATGTATACATGGGGTATAAAGGAATTATTTGTATGGCTCTGCCCATTTTCCTAAAATGAGGAATAAACCCCTTATTTTTTTGATCTGTGATGGAAGTCAGACATGCAAATGCCTTCTGTTTCTTTATATTACTTCATTTACTTACGTGGTATGAATTTTACATATAATTTGTTAATTGTACAGACATGTGTACAGAAAAGGAGAGCTACTTCATTCCATCTCAAGTTCCCATTCATATAGAACTTTGAAGGTTTCCATCAGACGTACAAAAATTATTTGTTAAAAATATAAATTACATTTTACCAGTTAATTTTTGAACTTTTAGCTAATTCTGTAGTTTACATTTCTCATTTATTTGTACATCACTTGATTCTCTTGTTTAATTTCCCATTTAGGGTTCAACTGATCAGGGACAGAGGTGTCAAAGATCATCATTACCCCAAGAATATCAAAGAGCTGTCTAAAGAGGAAATAGCTTTGTAAGTTTGCCTCAAATTTGAGATATATTTTTTATAATATGTATGTATCCTGGGCACTGTCTAAAAAGAGTTATGTGCTTTGTTGTTTTCTGTTTGCAGCTATAGAACATTATTTATATGTGTACAGTATATTATATTTCAGAATATATTATATAAAATAGGCAAGTCTGGTCTTGTGTGGAGAGCGAGTGAAAAGTATCAGGTTGGTTCAGATTTACAAAAATAGTCAAAACTCATATTGATTCCATTTGTTTTGCCTGGTAAAGTTACTGTGGGCAAACTTTCCAGTTCACTATATTTTTACTGAGCGGAAAAATGTCTAGTGAATCTTTGCTTTTGTAGATAGATCTTAAAAGTTTATACAATATTTTTGTCAAAAATATCAGGATCCAGACCACATGACACAGTGTCGTCCATTCTTTTACCATGGTAGGAAGCTCCAAAACTTTCCTCATGGTTGAATTATTGTTCTTCACTGAACATCACCTATTTTGCGCCATTTTTATATCACCTTGATTTTAATAATTTTTGTTCCCTTCACTTTGCCATAACAATGTCCGGAGTCAAACAATTATGAACTGAAGAAACATCAGGATAGATTTCATGGTGAAACTGAGCTACGAAATACCAATCTTTATAAACAGACCCCTTTCTCACGCTATATGATAATGATATACATTAGAGTGATCTTTATAAATAGATTTGATTGCAATGTTATATAGTAATGATATGTGTGTGATCTTTATTAGTAGACCCCACTTTGTCATGTTATATAATAATGCTATAGGGTATCATAATGTTTTTTATAGAAAAACTAATTGTCATGGTGTATAGTGATCATTTAGAGCAGTGTGAACTTTGCAAATAGACTCCATTGCCATGTTATAAAGTAATACTATGGGGTAGTTTGGTCTTTATAATTGACCCCAATTCGTCATGTCATATGATAATGATGCTAGGTATTGTAATCTTTTTATTAAAAAAACTAATTGCCATGTTATATAGCAACAATATAGACTAGTGTGATCTTTACAAATAGACCCCATTGTCATGTTATATAGTAATGATGGGCAGTAGCATGAATTAAAAAAATGGACCCCATTGCTATGTTGTATAATATTGATATGTGGTATTGTGATCTTTATAAGTAGAATCATCATGTTCTAGACTAATCATAAGTGGCAACTCATTGTTATTGCATATACTGAGCTTACATATCTTACATTTCTTTTCTTTTAATGCACTACAAATCATAGATAAAGGATTTGCCTTGGTGTCAGCAGTCTTTTAGCTTTAACCTATATATTATTTTATTCCTTTCACCAGTATTTTGTTTTCTTTATTTCCTTTAACAAATCCATAGAATGTATTTATGTTAATGAAGTTAATGTATGAAATATGTCATACAAGTTATTAGAAACTTTATTCCGTTCTGTAATAAAGGCTCAGTAACAGAAATGATTGCAAACTTAAAACACAGTAATGGACGAGATTTCCACATATAATTTGTTTGTGAAGACATTGTAAATCTGCTGCCCTGTACAAACTCCCCATTGCTTTCGAAGATTTAGTCATATCTCAATTAATTTTGTATCAATGCTATAAAAATATGCTGCAAAACATTAAAAAAAAGCTGTGTTGTTTAATGTTTTGTTGTTCTCCTACTGGTCCTGAGATCTGTGTTTTTCTACCTTTTGGTCTCTTCTTATAGTATACACTATGGCATATGTGTATTCACTGTGAATTTCACTGGGTTTTGCATTTCATCACATACTTACTGCTGCCACTGAGACTTAATAATTTTTCATAAAAAGGTTAAAAAAAGTTCTAATGAAGTCCTGCACATTATGTACAACTTCACTTTCTAAACTCTGTAAAAGAAACTTTCATATTTAATGGGAAATCATGAATTATTCCATTTATTATCCTCATCTTCCTTTCAAAGACATGATCTGGATAAAAGGCGGGGTGAATAATTTAGAAAAAAAATGAAATGCATTTTTAATGTGAAGGTGCAACTACAGATTCTCTTGACTATTAGCGAGTGCAGAGGAAACAGAATTTTACTTACAAAACCTCATCAAACCTTAAATTACATGACATACTTCTGTAATAAAATACAGAAGAAAGAAAAGTTTTTTTCCACACAGGTTGTTTTTAATAATCCGATGAAGTTGAAAAGTTTGGGGTATATGCAACGCCAGATTCCTACAACTGTTTATAAATATCCAGGTATAGACGTCTTTTTCAAATTCAGTAAAAAAAATGAAAACTCCCTGAACTGTGTGCCTCTGTCACAGCATTTTCTCTATAGCTCACTGTAGTTATAAATGATTAAATCTTGCTGTTTGCTGGCAAGTTTCATTCTGAATACTGTAAGAAACTAATTGCCATGGTCACTTCAGAGTGCTTTACTCAAATGAATAAATAAATAAAAATAAATAATTATCTGTATAAATAAAAGAAAGCAACTGGAGGGTCTAAGGAACGTCAATACTCTGTGAGATTCCGTTATGCGAAGAGAGAAGTTTTTGTTTCTCTTTGCTAGTCTAGAACGTGCAGATTAAATAGAAATCAACAGAGAAATGCAGCAGGACATAAATTGTCAGTTAACTTAATCGAACAATGCCTAGAGTTATTTACATCCACTTGTTTGCTTTTTCAGATATTTAGACTTTTCTGTCTAGAAATCTAGTTGATTTAATCATGGTCAACACCGCACTCTTTGGGCCAGGTATACTAAATTGTGACTTGATGTGAACAGAAGCAAAGTGCGTTAATTCAAATATCCAGTCAAGTTCAGGAGATTTGAAGATTTTGAACTGTTTCTTCACAGTATTGGAATAAAAAAATAATAAACACAGGCTAATTTCAGGTGACTTTACGCTTTAGTAAATCCAGTCAAATTGTATTTCCGTTAAGCATCTAGTCAGGATAAAGAGAACTTTCTTAGAAATAATCTGTCATGATTGATAACACCTATGTACCAAGGGACATTCATTCTTCGGGGCTTTATGCTAGTTGAAGAGTAGTGATTTGACTCATATTGAAGCTGAATCGGTTTAGCTTTCTTGCCCTTAAAATAATACTTGACCCTGGAATCAGAACAGCCACTGCAATTGGGCATATAGGCCGTTTCTCACACAGGCAATGTTTGCTGTGACATATTTCCCATAAACCAATGGATTTGTCAACTTTAAGAACATGCTCCATACTGAGGTAAATGTAACTCCTTTTACCTGCAATACATTGCCTGTGTGAGAAAACGCCTATATGCCCAATTGCAGTGGCTGTTCTGATTCCAGGGTCAAGTATTATTTTAAGGGCAAGAAAGCTAAACCTATGCAGCTTCAATATGAGTCAAATGCACACTGGGGCCCCCAGTGCGTCCCCACATCAAATACAGCCAAGCTAAACTGTTTTATTGCTGTGT